GCAGGAAGCCTGGCTTGGCCATATCCCTTATCAGCAACAGGGTTTTGAGCTAGAACAGAGTGCGGTGGAGGAGGGAACTGGATTTTTTTCTTGGTTGGTGAAAATGGCTCAGTTGTCCAAGAATATGATCAAAGAGAAGGCAAAATTAGGGTTGAGCTGTTGGATGGGGCACTTTCTTACCTTCTCACACCCAAGGTGCGCCAGGAAGAAAGCAGAGCTTGAAGTCAGCAGCCAGTACAGCGGGCTCAGCGCCAGGGTTCCCGCTACTTACAAACTGGAAAGTTTTCGTTTTAATTAAAGTGAGACAAAAAGAAAATGTTTGAATTTTTAATCCAGTCTGAATGTTTGTCTTTATACTAACACAGATATAAATTTCTTTTTATTATTATTATTGGTTTTCGGGAGGCAGGGCCCCATAAAGCCAAAGTCACAATGTAGCCTGAGGAGGTGAAACACTTCTGCAATCTCAGCACTCTGGGAAGCCGAGGCAGAAGGATCAAAAGTTGGAATACCACTGGGGTAACTTAGCAAGACCTTCTCTCAAAAAAAAAATAAAAAATAAAAAATAAAAAGGGCTGGGGATGCAGCTCAGTGCAGAGGTCCTGAGTTTGATCCCCACTATTGAAGGCAAAAAAGAAGAAAGTCACAATGCAGCTTGGGCCAGAAAGATATGCAGTTTCAAAGCCAGCTCCTGTGTGTTCCCAGGCAAGGCAAGTCTCTGTGAGCCCACTTCTTCATCTATAAGGTGAGGGATACTAAGCCCTACCTCACTGGACTGTAGAGAGATTTAATGGGAAAAATCCATGCACGTGCCTAGCACAATCCTGCCACACAGTAGGCAACCCAAGAACAGTCTAAAAACACTAAATCTGGCCCTGATGGCATCTTCAGAGTCACACGTCAGCAGCACATGACACATGAGGTTTAAGGCCATGGAAAGCCAGGTGACAGCAGGTAACACACCCATCTACTAAATTCACACCACCCTTCTGCCTACCATCAGCCTCCCACACTTCTGGAGTAGAGACTTCAGAAACAGGAAAGAAGGCAGGATGGGATGCTTTTAATATGCAATGTTGTATATTCTCAAAACTCATTTATGAGGTGACTAGAAAGCATCTTTGAAGCTGCTTTTGCAGGTGATTGTTGCTAAGCAACGCTGGCATTGCGAAGCAGAACTAGCTCGTTAGCCGAAGGCCACGAGGGGCCTGCCTGAGAAAGGCGGCAGGGCAGGGAAGCTGTGGCTGACTCCACCCACCTCCGGTTGGAGGAGCTGCTCCTGCAAGGGGTTGGGATTGGAGCAGTCCAGTACTTTTCTGCCTGGATCCAATATCGGGAAGATCGAGGCATCTAGAGGAGGGAGCAAAGCTTGTTTTGTTTTGTTTTTGTTTCCATTTGTTATGAAAAGAAAGGAAGCGAATCCAGATAACCTAAGAAGGGCTTCATTTAGTGAGTCTTAGGAAACTCTCAAAGACTGCCAAGGTGGAAAGAAAAGAGGAGAGAGGTGACCGGTGGGGAAAAGACCTGGGACAGGTCCCAGCCTCTGAAGCCCAGCCCGGACCCGAGTCCACAGGACTCTCCGCCCTGTGACTGTGATACAGTGCAGGAAAGCAGGCAGGCTGAGAAGGGAGGTGGCTCCGCCATCACCCAGGTGCCTGTGGTGGCAGCACAGCCCAGTTCTGAAAACGCTGTACCCAACCCTCAGGACCACCCCAGCTGGTGCAACGGCCCAGGCTTTCCCAGTCTGGAAACTCCTACTCTCACACGAAGAAGCTGGGGTGGTGGGGTGTTAGAGGAGGAAAAGGAAGGGATCCACCGGCTACTTTCTGCGCAGGACCCAGCTACCGGTAAAGAGGCCTGGGAGGCCCTCCCAGAACAATCGTTCCAAACGCTGGTTGATCCACTTCCACCCCACCTTGCTACAACATGGCCATAAGTCCTAGATTTAAGTGTGGGGCACCGGTAGTGGCCGTTCTAACTTCAGCAGAGACTCGGCCCAGGGACGGCCAAGGGCCAAATCTGCCTGGAAGCCAGAAAACAAGTCGGCCGGATCCAAGATCCCGCAAGGCAAGCTCTTTAAGGCCGGGTCTCGCTGGGCGGCCCCCCGGGGATGGAAAAGGAGGCCGGCTCTGAGCAGGTGCGGCGGCAGGGGAGGGAAGGAGAAGGGCCCACTGCGGCTCCAAAACCCTGGTCGGTTCCATAGCGGGCGCAGGGCCCATTCCCCGCCCAGCCCCGCACACCTGGGCGCGCCCCGACCCCGGCCGGGCTGCCAGCCCCTGGGCGCGGGACTCCGCTCCCCACCGCGACCAGCTGCCTACCTCGTCCCGCAAGCGGCGCCGCCGACCCACCTGCCAGCGTCCCCACGCCGCGCCCGGGCCGCTCTGCAGGTTCCGCGGGCCGCGCTGGTCTCCAGGCAGGCGTGCGGGCTTCCGCGCGACGGCGTCGCCATGGCGACCGGGCGGTGGCAATTGGTTGGCAGCGAGGCGGGCGACGCGGCGAGGGCCACCGTGTCCGGAAGTGCCTGCAACGTGCCCGCACTTGGGGACAGACGGCGGCCCACCAGGCTGGCCCGCACGTCCCAGGAGCCCGTGCCCCTGGCTGGGCTTACGACAGGCCCCGCTAGGTCCCGGGAGACGGCACACGGATAGCCCTCCGATAGCCCGGGGCTGGTGATCTGCCTTCCCGGGCCCCCACGTTCGGGGGCGCGTGGGGTCTGAGCCCCGGATAGACGCGAGGGGAGGAGAGCCTCGGGGCCCAGCAGGCCGGGGCCTAACTCCACGGTGTGCCCAGGCGGAGGCAGGGCATGTTGGCAAGTCCTGGAGGGCAGAATAGGCCCCGGGGCCTAGGAGTACGACTGCGGGCGCCAGCTCAAAGCTTCCAGGTTTCCTTGCGCCACGTCCCACCTCTCTGCCCAGCCTTTGGGTCTCCCCTGTTCTCTCCGCTCCAGTGCTCAGGAGGCCGCTAGGTGTCAGACACGGCCAGGCTGTGGCCCACTCCGCCCCTCGGAGCCGGAAAGAACACCTTGGTTCCCAGCCTCTGTAGAGAGCAGGACTACCCCTTTCCCATTTCCACCCCCATACACAACGAGGTTGTTGACAGGTTTTGCTTGCCCTTTTTCCAAGCGAGGTGTCTGCATAAGGGTGTGCGTGTGTGCCTAAAGATAAGATACTGGCTCTCACCTCTCACCGCCTCCCATGAAGGCCTAAACCTTGCCATCTGCAGCCTCCCCTAAGGGAGGAGGTTGCCAGGACCAAAACTGGAAGCCAGCTCCTTCAAAGCCAGATCCAGGCCCTCAATCCAGGAAGTGCTGTGGGTAGATAAACAGGTCCAGCTCAGACTTCCTTACAAGCTGCGAACGAAAGGTTCTTTCCTGTCCGTGCCTGGCCAAACTCACCGAGCGTCCAGCACTAGGAGGGAAATGGGGTTTCCTCCCCTGCAGACTCAAAACACCCTCAGCTAATGGTCAGCTTCCCGAGGGTGTGGGAAGCAGTCCTTGGAGTCCCTCAGATTGAATCCTCCCAAAGCAGGGCCCAGAGTTTCCTGAAGGGCCCTGGGGACCTGTTACCCACTCAGAGGGAGGCCATGCTGTCAAACACGTGGTAGGACACACTTTCAGATGGGACAAACACTAGGTCTCCCTAGCCCCCCACAGAGTGACCAAGCTTAAACTGTCCAAGAAATTGTGTAAGGGTAACTTCACATTTGGAGGAAGTTAAGGGAAATTTTTAGGTAAGAAACAGCTTCCTGGGCCGGGGATTTAGCTCAGTGGTTCCGCTGCCTGCCTTGCAAGCGCAAGGACCAGAGTTCGATCACCAGTACCAAAAAAAAAGGACAATATAAGAAACAGCTTCCTTAGTGTGCTAACGGGCAGACAGAATCCAACAATGCCTTGTGAATTGAAGGTGGAACTGAGCCATTCCTCACTGTTCATTGTATTTGGGCTTGGTAGGGTCAGCCCCAGCAGGGCAGGACAGGCCTCTTCAAGTGTTGAGTTCCCTGGTTACAGAGCAGGGCTTTCGACACCATCCAAGCAAGAAAAGATTTGAGCCATTGGGCCCCTTGAATCCTCCACCCCCATGGCCCTGGAGCCCTGGGCTGCAGCTCTTTTTCTTAGGAGGGAGATAGCAGTGAACAAGACAGGCATAGCCCTGTTCTCTGGCCTTTACAGGCAGGATCCTGCAAGAGACTCTGGGAAACCAGGGTACAGTGACAGCATAGAAGGCCCTTAACCCATGTGAGGATCAAGGAAAGCCGTGTGCCATACAATGACATTGCTCTGAGATGAACAGGCGTTGACCTGTCAGGAGACAGGCAGAGAGAGCATCATTCCTGGCTAAAGGAGCAAGAACCATGCCATGAAAGCTGGGTGCTCCTGTATACCCTTGGGGGTCCCAGGCTTATTTGCATGAAGAATCCCTAGAGCCCAGTGCAAGAGGCATGGACCACCAGCTTCGGGAATCCACATTCCTGAACCAAAGCCTGTGCCAGCTCTGAAATGGCACTGCATTGAGATGTCCCCGGCTACTACCCTGAAAGTGGGAGCAGCAAGTCCAGGTAGCATCAACAGCAGCCCTGCTCCCAGAGGAACTTCAAAGTACAAGGCTACTTTGACAAGCTTAAAACAGAACTACGCATCACTCAGAAAGAAAAACCTGTTTTCTGTCATGCCTGGTGGGAAAAGCCATTGCAGAGCCCCTTGCTACCCGGTGGAAGAGGCCATGGCAGTGTTCCAGGAAGTCCAAGTACAGGTACACCACTGTCCATGGCCATACTATCTCCCTCCACACACACCACACTCCTCAAGGCAGCGAGTCCTCGGACCAACACCTGAGGGAAGCATTTCTCATGCTCACGTGCAACCTTACCCTAACTAGGTCCTCCCCTAGTCCTCTTTGCACCCTTTCGTCCAGCTAGCCCTCTTGCTCCTTTCACTGTGCCCCATGGTTGCACCCCCGCTGCTTCTCCTGATGGTCCCCAATTATCTCTACACTGCAGTTGACTCCTTCCTTAGCTAAATATTGCTGGCTTTGTATCTCCAAGTCTTCAGTCACCTATACGGCCACCCCAGTCCCTCTCCAGGTCTGAGTCTTTATTAACCTCACATACCACTCCCAATATGAAACAAAAAGCCCACTCCAACTCTTAAACAAAGGGTCATTACTTGATTTCCCCATTAATGAAATGACCAAAAAACTCAGAACATGTGGCCCAGCTCATTTAGTCCTACATCACTAACCTCCCTGTACAAGAGAGCTCAACAAAGCCTATATGCAGCCCCATAACCGCTGATACTAGTCTGACCTTCCAAGGCCCTGTCTGCATTCAGCATAATCTGTCCTCCAGGACACCACTAGGACATCTACTCCCACATCAGTGTAACTATATGTTACAATTACCGGCCCCAGCTGACCATATTGATTACCAGGTCACTCAAGATGCCCCATTCACTCAGCAGGTCTGCCTTTCTGGCCCTCCTAAAGTTGCAATAACATCATTGCTTAACAGTCAGATCTTTGTAATGGCCACTACTTCCCATGCATGACAATACATCCATGGACTCTCTGTCACCAGTCTCCCACTCTCTCAGATTGCCTTCTCTTCCCTACCTATAACTACTCCTCACAATGGCTTTTAATAGATACCAAAAGATTCTTCTTCAAATAGGAGAACAGAACAGTAAATGCCAGTGACATCCCCCATTGGGGGACTTTCCAGCCTCTAACAGGGCTGCGCTATCAGGTACTTTGGGTGTCTGAAAGAATGAAAACAAAAAAACTCTCACATCTCTTTAGCATCCATAACCACTTCTGCTTACCTAGCCAAGGTGATTTTTTCCTTTTTGAGACATCCACCTACCTATGCCTCCCCACTAACTGGACCCTGCACCTTTACACTAACATACCTCAGCCCAAAAATAGACATTTCCCCAGGAAACCAGAGTCTCCCTGTCACCATCATCTGACAACATAGAGACCTGCTAACAATACCCCTGCTTGTCTGTCTGGGTATTGCCACTGCTGCAGGCAGTGCATCTAACTACCTCCTTGACCTACTATCTTTCCCTATTGCAAGAGCTCTCCAACAGCCTCAAAGAAATAGCTGACTCCATTCTTACCTTACAAAACCAGACTCCCTGATGACAGTGACCCTCCAAAGCCATAGGAGCTTAGATCTTCTCTCAGCTAAAAAAGGTGGCCTGTGCATCTTCGATGCATCTTGCTTCTATACCAGCCAGTCAGGCATAGTATGAGATGCAGCAAAAAGGCTAACCCACAAGGCTGCAGAAATTGGACAATGCATGTCTGACTCTTGGACTGGTAATTGGGGAAGCCGGGGGAGCTGGACCCGATGGCTCCTCTCTAACCAGGCCTCTCGTCTGTATCCCCCTCCTCCTCCTCTTTGGGCCATGACTCCTCAGGGTTACTCTCAGGATTCCTACAGAATCAAGGCCATCACCAATCAGTTGATGTGACAGATGTTTGCTCTGACCATCCACCTATACCATCACATCCCCCAAGATCTCTCTACCAATTAAGATGTCCACACCACTCACATGTTCTGTGCAAAGAAGCCATGAGAAACATTGCCCACCTCCCCTTTTTTATACTCTTTCTTTTTTATAACAACAAAGAGACAGGAATGTCACACCTGGTGGGAAAAGCCATTGCAGAGCATCTTGCCACCAGTGGGAAAGGCCATTACACACCCACCAGCAGGAAAGGCCCACCTGTCAGGAAGACCACTGCAGAGTCTGGGAATTTTGGGTACAGCTACATCATTGCCCATGCCTATACTATCTCTGTATCCAGATTCCTCAAGGCAGTATCTCCTAGGTTCAACACCCAACAACCCCCTTCGATGCCTAGCAACCACCTCCCCTTTAAAAATCTTAGCTCTCCCCTTGCTCACTGCAGACTCCCCATTCAGACTCAGCCTGCTTGGACCAAGCAAAATAAGCAACCTCATTGCTTACACAAGCCTGCCCAGGTGTGATCTCTCCTCTCTGTACCTTCATTTATTTGTTTGTTTGTTTGTTTATTTTGGTACTGAGGATCAAACTCAGAATCTTGTGCTTGTAAGGTAGGCACGGTGCCACTGAGCTAAATCCCTGGCCCCTCTCTGCACCTTTAATACATTTTCCTGCTTCAGGAGCAGTGAAGGTGACCAGAAAGGGAGTGGCCTTAGCAGGGCCATCAAGAGCATCCACTGGACCTACATTGTGGAGAGTGGCATCAAGGCAGGGCATAGGCCACAAAGCTACTCAAGTCACCTTGGACATCCAGAATGCAAGGGGATTAAAGTTGAGAGAAATCAAAATCTACAGGGTATAACCCCATCCCCTTTGGACCCCAAGCCTGGTCTAGTCTAGGAAAAGACCTAGACCAGTGGTGGTGAACCTTTGGCATGTTGCCACAGCAGGATGTTTGTATCATAGAGAGCTCTAATTGGTTT